CTCCTCCCTGCGCTTCGACTCTCGACGATCTCCCCGCTTCCACTCCCTCCTCCCCCCACCGCACGCCCCCAGTCCCCAACCGCGCTTCCGCTCTTCTCCCCCTCGTATGATACCCTATCCTTTAATTTTTTAAACTACACTATAGTCTTCTCTCAAAATTTTCATCATCTTTCAAATTCTTTCAATTCACCCTCACTACTTCTATCGATAACCTAGGGACTTATTATTCTCTGTGCTTTCTCCTCTTTTAGCTTGTAAAAACTCTTCTTTTACACGCCTTCTTTCTGCTCCACAATCCGAATTTTTCTCCTTGTCAACATTCCAAAAGAAGATTGATTCGCAAAATTTTTCTCTTTTTGTAATCTTTAATTAAATTACGAACTTTCTTTTTAGTCTCACCTTTCTGCAGTCATAGATGTGGGCCCTAGAGTTCGATACCCAGACCTCACTTTGCCCATGTACAGTATTGAGTCAACCCTCGAGTGTTTGAACCCGTGACCTGTGCTTTGGTAGTTATTTGTCGTCTGTCGTAGGTCTGTGTAGCGGTAGGGGTTCGATCTGTAGGTCTGTCGATTAGGAGTCACAGCTCTGTAGAGGTCGTAGCTGTAGGTATTCTGAAATGTCAAGGTCGTAGCTGCTACAGTCCCGAAATGTCAAGGTCGTATGTAGGTATTCTGAAATGTCAAGGTCGTAGCTGCTACAGTCCCGAAATGTCAAGGTCGTAGCTGCTACAGTACTCGAAAGGCCAAGTCCACAGACTTCCGGAAGATCCGGAAGTGGCCTTTGGAAGTTGCCTCACGTTTGGCCAGAGGCAAGTGGGCAAGTGGTGAGCCGAGTTGGCAGTGCAAACCCATGCAGTCAGCAGTACCAGTCCCAGTCAGTCAGAGTCCAGTCAAGCAAGTACCGTGTGGGACTGTGTGCACCAAGGGCCTGGGAAAGGGGCAGACCAACGAGTTACAGAAGTATAAATCAAGAGGCAGCACCCAGCCATTCATTCATTCTGCTGTGTGCCATGCGGAAGTGCTGCCCGAGCGTCTTGTGCGAAGGTGGTCTGCAGATGCCCGTAGTTGAAGTGGGCAAGAGGGACAATGTTAGTAATAGAGTTAGCAGCGGCCATAGACGCCGAGGTTAAAGATAGGAGTTAGTGTGTGTGTGTGTATGCGCGTGCTACAGCGAGTGTGTGTGGGGTATTCAGGGTAATCCAGAGTCGAGGGTGTGTGCGAACAGTGGGGGACACAGTTACGAGAGTGGGATGTACAGGCGCTGTTGCGCCTTAGCCTGTCGAAGCGAGTGTGCACCTGAACTGTGTTCTCGAGTTCCATATCTCTGAGTTTGAGTGGACGCCTGGCGCCCGTTTGATTTGCCATCTGTTTGCATGTATGCGAGTTGAGGAATAAAGCGAGTCTGATTGCACTGGTATCAGAGCAGGTTCCTGTTACTCTATGTGCTGTTGTCGTTGAGCAGGGCGCCATAGCTGAGACGCGCCATCGAAGAAGAAGATCGTCTGCCATAGCTGCGCTGCGGAAGAGAGGTGCCGCGTACCTGCAGAGGAAGACAACGACAAGAGAGAGAGAGAGAGAGAGAGAGAGAGAGAGAGAGAGAGAGAGAGAGAGAGAGAGAGAGAGAGAGAGGAGTGATAGAAGATTGTTGTGCGGTCCAAGGAAGAAGGCGGCCATAGCTGCGGAATTCGAACACGGAGGAGAGAGAAAGACACGACGAGTGAAGGAGGGAGGAGAGACGAAGGAGAAAGGAGAAGCCATAGCTGAGGAAGACGAAGGAGGGACAACGAAGAAGAAAGACGACATTGCATGGGTGAAGAGAGAGGCGAGGAAGAAGAAAGGAGGGAGAAAGAGAAGTGACCGAACGTGCGAGACGACGTGTCGACAGCCATAGCTGAAGTGAGGGTTGACTTCGGCGTTCATCAAGCATTGACCAAAGGGTAACCGGAGCGTTGACCAAGGTTTTACCGCGCTGACCAAGGCGTTGACCAGAGCTGCTGAGTACAAAATTGACCAAGTTGGAGTTGGTATAATCTCGCCAAGTCCTTAGCCTATTCCCTTGCCCTATGGATGTGCACTCACCCCATGGTACTTGCTGAGTCTGTCTATCTCTTCTTTCTGCATTGAGTCGCTTCTGTCCAGGTGATACGAACTATGTGTATGAAGGATAGCGCCGCATTGACCAAACCCACACGGGCTGAGTAGGGCTAAAGGTTGTGTCTGACGACTCGACTGACCCGGAGGACACGAACCCTCCCAAGGACCAGTACAAACCGGCGGGCTTGCACAGTAGGCCCAAAATTTGAGTTGTGGGCTGCACAATGGGCTGTCTAAGTCTTAAGAGGACTTGTTGATCACGTCGTCTTGTCTGCGATGTTAAAGAATTCCTAAGGAGTTATGGGGGATCTCCTTAAATGCTTCCTGATCAGCGTTAAAGTTCTGTAGTGACAGCTTAGAAATAGGTCTAGACTAGTGACCATACTTGACAGGGTTCTGAACCAGAGAGAAAGTCAGGTGGGATTGATCGTAGGTGCTGGGCATCTGGGTCTGGATTGTAAAGGACAGTGGTGGCGAAAGCTTCCGTCGGCCGTGGTAACCTGGCTGGATCAAAGGGTAAGGCTTTGTGGTCCTTAGACAGTTAGTTTGTCAGTCAAGTGGGTAGGTCTAAGTGGTGAGGAGTGGGACAGTCATTGTCATTCACCTGACACCATGGACGACTACCCTATTTACGGTCTGCTCGTGGGGTTCTCCCTCTGGGGACACTTTTGCGTCTTTTTTTCCCCCTGGGATTCTGGAACACTTTCACGTGTAGAGTGGACACTAGGGGTGGCAATAGCACCACTCCCTATACTAAGGAGCAGGAGGAGGAGGCTGCGAAGATCTTGGCCGAACAGACGGCTAAGAAGGAGCAGCGGGAGGTTGTGAAGCAAGCCAAGAAGTTGGCCTTGTTGCAGGAGAAAGCCGCAAAAAGAAAGAAGTTGGAGGAGGAGTTGGAAAGGGTCAAGAAGGAGGAAGAAAAGATGAAATCAGTGGATGCAGAAGAAGAAGAAGAAGAGAAAAAGGTGGAAGAAGAAGTGCCCCTGACTAGGAGAAGTATCAGGGACAGCGGCGAGACGAGTGGCACAAAGAAAAAGGCTACTTGGCTGGAGAAGAAGGTTTCTGAATGGGTTGCCAATTTGTCTCTGGGAGAAGAGGAGGAGGTGATGTTATATTTTCCCAGAGAAGAACAGGAGGCGGTAGTCAAGGAATTGGAAGTTGAGGAAGACCCCCTCAAACGACAGACGATAGAGGATGAGAAAGAGTTGGAGTGGAAGCTGCGTCTGACTAGGGAGAGGAAGAAAAACGTGGAGGCGGCGAGTAAGGCGGTGAAGGAACTGGAGGAGGTAAGACAGTTAAGGGTGCAAATGGAGGCACAGGCGGAGTTGAAAGGAAAAATAGAGGTGATGGCGAAGAGTATAGAGCGCCTAGCGCGGGCTCAGGAGGAGCAGTACCAATTTGGGAGGAGTCAGGACATAGCCGTGCGATCAATACGATTGGGGTTTAGAGAGTTTGTGCGCGAAATGTTGATGCATGTGGGCTCAGAAGTACAGGCGAGATTAGAGAGCACGGAGTGATTCTGCACCGACGCCATAGAAGGCACAAAGTTGGTTGCACCCAGAGAGGAAGAAGCTCGCCCCCGTAGAGAGGCGGTTATGTGAAGTTCCCTGATTCTTACAGTGGGAAGAAGTAGGAGAACTTCGATAACTGGGAGGCCAATGTGAACTCCAAAAGATATCTCCTGACGAGCATATGCTCATAGCCTTCCATGCGCTAGGGGATGAAGCAGCGAGTTTCGCCCGGTCGCTTTGTCGCGCCACTAAGTGTGATAACGATATGGTTGCCTATTCTGCAATCACCCCTCTCAGTGAGTTTTTCAAGTTACTGCGCGAAAGGTTTGCGGATGTCACACGAAGCGTCAAAGCTTCTAACAAACTGCAGACCATTCATTCTCACCAGTAGAGGAGTGTAAGGGCACTCAAGGGTGTTATGGATGAGTAGGTTGCCGTTCCTTATCATGGGGTCATTGAGACCCAGTTAGTCAACCTGTTCTATTGTGCCATGCCCGAGCCCTTGCGCGGGCACTTCTTTGAGAAGAGTAGAGAGTCTACCATGACCTACGATGCCTTGAGTAGGGAAGTGGTAGCATATGAGGCCCAGTCCATATCAGTTTCCAATTTCCGGCACAAAGACTTGGATAAGGGAAAGAAGTGGAAAGGCCGTACCATCTCAGGTCAGGTTAAGGGCAAGGATCACCGGATCCTTACGTTAGATGAGGGTGGTATGGAAGAGGTCTCATATGATCAGATAGAATGGGGCCTCGAAGAGGATGATGGCAATGTAGGTCAGGGGAGGATTTATGCTGCTGTCGCGGGTGGAGAGAGGCCACAAGGAAGAGGGCGAGGTCAGGGCCAAGGGGGTCGGGCCTCTGGTGGTCGTAGACAGGGCGATCAGGGGGTTGGTGGCAGAGGAGGCCGCAAAGTGGGAGGCAGGGGTCAAGGTCCCCCGCAAAACCGCTTTAGTTCTAATCGGTCACCTTATAGGAGAGGTGGAGGGCACCCCGGTCTGCCATAGGGCAGGCCTTGGGAAGACTTGGGCCTAGAACAAACAGTTTGGCAGAGGAGGATCGATCAGGATCAGTGCATCTATTGTTGTGGTCCTGGTCATATCATTAAATATTGCCCTAAGTATAGAGAGGCTCGATTTGTTGCACAGGCAGCGAAAGGCAACCGCCGGCAGGTCGCAACTGCCCCTATCCCTAGACCATGTGGAGAAGAGTGCGCGCACCATATAAAAACTCCCAAACCACATGTGTCTATGGCAGAGGTTGCTGGCCAGTGCCTAGATGGTTGTCCTTAGACTGTTTTTGTTAGAGTCTCTCTAGGCACTTCCCTCACGGGTGTGGCAAAAAAATTGAAGGAGAGGATGCCCACCTGGGCCAAAATGAAGAAGGATGTGAAGGGACAACTAGTCTAACTAGATGTAGAAATTTTTAGAGTCAGGGTAGGGGCCCTTATAGATAGTGGGGCTACACGCAACTATATTAGTAAAAAGGCGTTGCAAAAGTTAAAGTTGGGTTTAAAGATCCAAAAGTTGGAATACCCTATAGTTAGTATCCTCACAGACAGTCGCACTATGCGGGTCGAGGATTACGTTGAGGGAGTCCAGGCGTATTTTCGCCTAGAGAAAGATGGGAAGGTGAAGAAAGTTCTCCATTCCCTGACTCTCCTCGTAAAAAGACAGCCTTTCTTTCGATATAGTCTTAGGAATGGACTGGGGAGAGGCAGCAGGAGCCACACTCCACCTGAGAGAGCACGAGTGTAGGCTCCCTAGTCCAACAGGCGAAGTTAAGACGACTCGTCTGTTTCATGTGTCAGGAGTAGACAACTCTCTAGCACATTGCTGCCTCAGTGCTCCCGCGTTTGCGCGATTGGTGAGGAAGGAGCAATTGGAAGAACAAGTCTTTGTAGCCTACGTTAGGCCGATCACTAAGCCTAAGGAAGAGAGACCCATAGACCCTGCTATTGCCAAGCTGCTGGAGGAGTTTACAGACTTAGCTAAGCCGCCAACAGGAGTAGTACCGCAACCAATCCAACATCTTATAGAGATGGAGCCTGGCAGTAGGAATCCTAAGGGTGTTGTGTACAGAATGTCCCCAAGGGAGTTGGAGAAGTTGCGCAAGCAATTGGATGAGCTCCTCGAAAAGGGTTGGATTAGGCCCAGTTCATCTCCATTTGGAGCACCTGTTCTTTTTGTCCCAAAGAAGGAGGGCGAGTTGCGCATGTGCATAGACAATAGAGGTCTTAATGCGATTACAGTGAAGAATGCAGAACCACTGCCCCGTATAGATGACTTGTTGGATCGGGTGTAGGGCTGCAAATATTTCTCGGAGATAGACTTAAAGTCCAATTATCATCAGACAGAGGTTCACCCTGATGATCAGTATAAGACAGCATGCCGGACTAGATATGGGCACTATGAGTTTATAGTTATGCCCTTTGGACTAACCAATGCGCCAACTACATTTCAACATTGTATGAATGATTTGTTTAGGCCATGGTTAGATAGATTCGTGGTAGTGTATCTAGATGATATCTTAGTCTTTAGCAAGACCCTCCAGGAGCGTGAGGGTCATCTGAGGCAGGTCTTTGAGAAGCTTAGAGAAGCTAACTTCAAGATCAACGCGAAGAAGTGCGAATGGGCCAAGATCCAAGTTTCGTACTTAGGCCACGTCTTAGACGGAGACGACGTTAGACCTGAAGACAACAAAATCGCAGCGATTAGAGATTGGCCAACGCCCCGCACACTGATAGAGTTGCGGTCATTCTTAGGCCTAGCTAACTACTATAGGAAGTTCGTTAGAAACTTCTCCACCATCGCTGCACCCCTTCGCAGGTTGCTAAAGAAAGAAGTAATCTGGAAGTGGGACAAGGACTGTACACCAGCCCTGAAGAAGTTAAAGCGGGCTTTCATAGAGTACCCAGTCCTTAAGGTAGCCGACCCGTCCCTGCCTTTCGTTGTCACCACCAACGCGGGTCAGTACGACATAGGTGTTGTTTTACAGCAAGATGATGGCAATGGATATAAGCCCGTAGAGTTCATGTCTGCCAGGATGCTTGCAGAGAAGGTAGCGATATCCACCTATGAGAGGGAACTCTACGCTCTCAGGCAAGCACTAGAGCACTGGAAACATTACTTGCTTGGGAGGCACTTTAAAGTCTATTCAGACCACGGGACACTAAGGTGGTTGAAGACGCAAGCCAAGATGACACGTAAGCTTACTAGGTGGGCCGCTGAATTAAACCAGTATGACTTTGAACTTAAGCCAGTAAAAGGGAAGTACAATGTAGTTGTGGATGTTCTAAGTAGGAGAGTTGATTACTTTGGGGCGATAATTCACTATCTGGATATAGGTACAGACCTGCAACAAAAAGTTAGAGAAGCGTATGCACATGACCCTATTTATAGTGACCTCCTGAAGAGAGTTAGGGAGTCCCCAGAGTCCGAACCAGACTACCGCACTACTGATGCGATACTATTTGAGAAGACCAATGTAGTTGACCATCTTTGCGTTCCTAAGAGTGAAGAGATCCGTAGTTTGATCTTAGGGGAATGCCACGACGCAGAGAGACACTTTGGGTGGCAAAAGACACTAGCCAACCTCCTGCATGCATATATCTGGCCTGGAATGAAGGTCGACTGCATAGAGTACGTGCGTAGTTGTAAAGTCTGTCAGAGAAACAAGACTACTACGCAAGCCCCTCTTGGTCTTCTCAGACCCTTGCCTATTCCTGACAGACCCGGGGATTCTGTGTTCATTGACTTTATGGATACTCAAGTCAAGAGTAGGCATGGCAAAAGTCAAGTCATGGTTATAGTTGATAGATTTAGCAAGTATGCAGTTTTTGTTCCTCTGCCTGCAGAGGCACGCACAAATCTAGTTGTTCATAAGTTCTTTGATCATTGGGTCAGTGAACATGGTATACCGTTGTCGATAGTTAGTGAGAGAGACACCAGGTTCACCAGTCAAAACTGGCAGGAACTGATGAAAGTCTATAGCTCAAAGTTGCTGATGTCATCTGGCCGTCATCCGGAGACTAAGGGTCAGACTGAACAGATGAATAAGCTCCTGCAGAAAGTTCTTAGGATGTACATTAGGCCCGACCAGATCAACTGGGATGAAATGCTCCCTAAGGTAGCCAGTTCATATAATAATAGTGTGCAGTTATCTACGTGTCGCACTCCCAACGAACTGCACAAGTCTTTTAGACCGCGGAGACCGTTCGAGGGACTTAACCGGGATCAGATTTAGAGGCTACCGCCCGATACACGAGAATTTGTGATATAACACGAGAAAGAGATAGCTACCGTTGTAGACAATCTCAGGAAAGGCCAGCATAGAATGATAGAGCAAGCTAATAAGCATCGTCGCCCCTCACACTTTCAAGTAGGCAACTTAGTCTTGGTCAAGTCAAATGACTTCGCTCCTGAGGAAAACATCTTACAGAAATTACTACCTGCGTATAGAGGACCGTGGCCAGTCTTAGACGTCAAGGGCGGAGAGGATGGGCCGTCCTATACTATTGAGGTTATGGCACACCTCCACACCTACCAGTGTTCCATGCGTCAAAGTTGTTGCCTTGTATCACAAGCCAACAATTTCCGTCACGCAGATCTATGATTCCTCCATATATGAATGGAAGATATGACATTGAAGGGATAATAGGTGAGAATGTCTTCAGGACAGGAGGTAGATGTCCCCAGAAATAGTACAAAGTCAAATTTGCCTATCAAGAGCCAGAAGATGATCGCTGGTTCACGCGGACAGAACTTCTAGAGACAGCTCCCGATATAGTCTGAGCTTATGAAAGAGATAAGAAGGGTAAAGGTCTTGCCTTAGACTGAAATATTATTGGAGGACCTCTAATTTAGGCTAGCGGAAGTGAAACGATTTTCACCCTTCTGCAGTCATAGATGCGGGCCCTAGAGTTTGATCCCCGGACCTCACTTTGCCCATGTATAGTATCGAGTCAACCCTCGAGTGTTTGAACCCGTGACTTGTGCTTTGGTAGTTATTTGTCGTTTGTCGTACGTCTGTGTAGCAAAAGGGGTTCGATCTGTAGGTCTGTCGATTAGGAGTCAGAGCTTTGTAGAGGTCGTAGCTGTAGGTATTCTGAAAGGTCAAGGTTGTAGCTGCTACAGTCTAGAAAGGTCAAGGTTGTAGCTGCTACAATACTCGAAAGGCCAAGTCCACAGACTTCCAGAAGGTCCGAAAGTGACATTTCAAAGTTGCCTCACGGTTGGCCAGAGGCAAGTGGGCAAGTGGTGAGCCCAATTGCGTTACGTCGGCAGTGCGACTGCATCGAGTTGGGAGTGCAAACCCATGCAGTCAGCAGTACCGGTCCCAGTAAGTCAAAGTCCAGTCAAGCAGGTACCGTGTGGGACTGTG